TATATATATATATATTCCCGGACCATCTCCCAACATTTATTGTTCCTTTAAACATGCTATCACAATCAGTAATGGTCACTAGGTCCTCAAATTTTAGACTACCGCCTCCGAACTAACAGCAGTATCCAGATTTAGAGACGACCCCATATTTTTGGTGCTCCGAGCCAAACTTGGCTTGTATACTATGGACCAATTGAGCTTACCAGGGTGTATAATAAGAAAAGTTTAGTGCATAAACACAGCATACTGGAGTAGGTTGTTATAATCCGGCGCTTCACATACCTTGGCAACCCTTGTTAAAATATTTACAGATAGTTGAAAACAGGACAAGTGTGAATTTATATGGATCCGCTACTATGTCTTCTCTTTGGTGCTTTCCTGAGATCCTGGATGTTAAAGTTCCCGGTCGTCCTTAAAAATTAAAAAAATTGGGAAAGTAGCGGTACTACCAACGTATTCCCAGAAAGCCTGAACCTGAACACAAAGCAATATTCAAAGCTTACGTGTTGTTTACAAGGTAATGTATCACATGGATAATAGCCCATCTTGATGGTGCATCATCATCATTGTCAGCTGTAATAACCGCGTACTTGTCGTACAGTGGTTGTAGCTGCGTATGTTAGCAGCTTCCGTCCATATTGCTTTGGTAATTGTTTGGATGTTCAGGCACCTGTGCTGTTCGCGGTAGGTTAGTACTGGTCTCTATTTTCTTTCTACTTTTGTTTTTCCTCATAATATGGGGCTATACGCAAATGTAAGTTCCACAGTTCATATTGGTGATGCTTGTTGCTCCCCTGGTGAGACCTTTCCAGGTGGTCATCATCGTTGACAGTAACACAAGATAAGAACACTGGCCAGCATCGATAATACTGCATATGGCCCATTAATACAACTTGCACGTTACTCACCAACTAACCCGCTTCGCGTCACTTGTTAACTGCGAAAGATACGATGCATCAAGGATTTATTGTATCTTTAGAAGCCTTACAGCCGAAGACTTGAGAGTTATTGTGGTATCTCGTTCTCTCTCGCACATGTGGCACTCCTACCCGGTAGAAATTGATGAATACAGCTCTCCGTCTTTGCTGAACCCACTTTGCCATGCAAAAAATTCAAGGAACGAATTCAATTCTTAACCTACTTCGTTCATCTGTTGAGCTGGTGGATGTCCCTCTCCGCCATCATGGCTGTATCGCCTTGTTCTTTCTTCAACTGTGAGGACTGAGTCCCTGAAATCTATGCGCTGCTCCCCTATCGCGTCGTTTTTGGCTTCTGAAAAGTGGCTCATGCAAATTAGGTGGCAATCACTATCCTTACATTCAACAATCCTTCCGTTGGTCTCATAAGCCTGGTTCACGTCAAAACCTGGGGCCTCTTAGCAATACCATCGACAATTCGTCGTTGAAATTTCGGGAAATCTGAAAATGCCGCACCTTTGACCAGTGCTTAACATTTCTACGGTAGGTGTGGAATCCTTACCACACAGAGATGCTACAAGTAAAATGGGTCGAAATTCCCGATTTGGAAAAACTGTCTCATCTCTTTATGACAACATTTCTGAATGACACAGACCTAAAGCAGTTTTATACCCGAGGATCAGAAAAACTTGGAAAGTGGTCCCCATCTTTCGATTTTCGATCGCCCACGATATTTCTTTCAGACAGCCAATTTGAGTACGAGAACTCATCCTTCAGTACCTCTAACATAAATACCTAGTGGTCCGTTAGTGACTCTGAAACAGCCAGCTGTCTCCCTTTCCACATCCATCCTTAATACGCCTCCTTCAGACAGTGGCTTCCGACACAATGTGTACCAGATCACCCGTTCCTAAGCTCTACGACGTAACGCCGCTCTTTGCTTTATCAATATCGATCCAAGGATTTTTCAATAATAAACAATTTTCGAAACCTTTGGAGAGGTTTTACCACAATTAACTGGATAATACTTGTGTTTCTGAGCACTGGCAGAAAGCTACCATCGTAACCCTCGTCCTGATATCACGTTACCTCTTGCCGTTGTTAGCAAATACTATGGCATATATTTCAGCGGATAATCTTGCAATTCTGGAGCGGTAAAATATATTTTTGCACGTGGTGCACTCGTTACGGCACTAGAGGTTGTGATCACTCTAACTTCTCCTCCCTAAGATAGATTGATCATGGGAATTATGGTAAGTGCTTATAGTGAAGACATTCACTATGACATCCACTGAGACATCTTTTGCATGTTGCATGTGGAAAAGTTCCAGCTTTGGTGTGCCAGTGCCCCATGGTGCCCATTATCAATTCTTCCATACGCTTTACTTTTCCGTTCAAGTTTCTCGAGGATTTTCGGGGTAGGAATTATTTCCCAAAAGCCAATTACAACCAGGCTACCGAATTAGGGTGTAGACGGCACACACTTTTGGCGCATACACCTGTTCACCTGGCTGTGTCACTTATTACACGGTATTTGCGCGAAATATCGTCCTCCTATGAAAGATTCACTCTTGCTAACCCGGTTTGCCTTCGCTATCTTCTGAAGTTTTCGCTTTAAGGTAAATAGTCCCCTCTGGGCACCAGAAGGTATATCAGTATACATATTCAGGAAGTTTGGAGTTCTACGCATACATATTATCGAGGGGGTGCATTACCTGGCATTTTCAAACTGATGGGACCTACCTGACCCAAACGCTCAGCCTTTTATCCGGAGTTAGAAGGTCACATGCTTGTGGACGTCGGATAGACCTTGTGTCCTTGGTATACCACTGGTTGATTTCCGACAGTTGGTGCATCCGTAAAACCAAACGTCTTAAATATATTTACGTGCCCTTTGGTACACCAAAGAACAAATATTTACTCGAGTTCTCACAAAACCTCAACTTCATCAGTGGGTCGGTCAATTTAGCGATAACTTTATGGTAAAAGTGGATGCTGCCATAAGTGTTCTCATAATCAAAACAGATTCATACACCGGACAACTGAAAATACGCTGAACATCTCAATCGCATCCAAAATCTCCAACATCTAGAACGTCTCCAACGTCTGAATTGTGGGAACCTGCCAGAAAACTCCAAAGATGGTCCACAAAAGGGTTATTTGGTGTCCGAATTCTTCTTCACGAGAAGCGGCTAGCCGGCTCCACCTCCTACACGATTGGCTAAAGAATTTAACGTGGAATCCAGGGGTTAGTATCCAAATCTTAAAAGACTACAATCTCTTCTGCTACCCTTTTAGCTGATACAACCAACGCGCGAGCCAGGATACAAAAGTGCCCAACCAACAAGTACATCTGACTAACAACGGTACTATCACTGAATGTGTTACGTGCGTCGGAATTCACGAACATAGAAATACGGATAGACCAAAACCTTCGTCCCGTGTTCCAGTTTCTGCTATCAGAATTAACTAATGGTCCCTCTTGAGGTACAATTTAGATCCTAGATAGAATGGAAACCGCAGGAAACACAGTCCATTGATATATAGGTGCAATGGTGATGAAATGCTTGAATATGAAAGGTAAAGCACTATCACCTATGTGCCATCAGTTAGGTGCAATCTGGCGGTTGCACAATGGTTTTGCCTACCGTAATTTTGACATCCATTGGAGAAGTGTCTCGAAATATTCACAAATATCTGGCATTAAAAGCTGACAATTTTGACGAGAAGAATTTACATAATTAGTAACTGTATACACCGAAGGCTGACGCAACGCAAAAAAGTGATTCATTCATAAAAGATGCTTCAGCATAGTTATCAGTGTCCGCATCCCAGTAGCACCTATACGCTACCTTGACACCCTGGCCTCTTTGCTCACCAATGATTACCTGCACGAGGTACCGGTATCTGCTCAGGTTTAGTGTATTCTTCAGGGTCTGTTTGATCGCATCTGCAATTTCAATACATCGGTCTGCGACACTCAATCAAATTACATGTTCTTTTACCGTGTGTAATTTCGGGTGAGTATGCTTCGTTTTCGAGGCGTTCTTTCAGAATTTGGCTTAATATTGATTTCACTATTGATGGACGAAATTTCTGGTCGAACGGCGGTCTTATGATATAAGAGTTTTGTTTGTCCGATACTCTGTTGGCCTCAGTGTCATTAATGCCCTTAATTCCCGTCTCCATCCTACTTGAAATCGTGCTACCTTGCCATGGCAACTGATATACGTTCAGTTTAGTTCGACGCACACAGTCCGCCAACCCATTTCTCTGTAAGACAAGATTAATCAAGCTGCCGTCGAGTATCTTAAAGACATTTGCTCTAGAGTTCCACACATTACTTCAATAAGGTAATCCTTTGGAAAAAAGCACATTCGTAAGGGTGCACGTTCGGCAGTATAGGGATCCAAATCTACGATGGCAGCCTCAAGGACGCACCGATTAATTGAGGATATTTAAATGGCTTCCTGGATTCTGATTATTCTTGTCGTTGATTGGCTTTTATTAGACTGGAAATCACGGGCTAAATGGTTTATAGCACAGTTGTTTGAGCTCTCGGCATTGGGCAGTACGCTCGGCAGCAAGAGGACTAACAAGAATAATTTTATTGTGCTTTCTTCTCGGTCCTAGATATGGGATGGACAGCTGCAATATAGAAGCAATCAGTGGCAACAAATACTTAAAATGATTAGAACTGCTTTTAATTACATCTGGGTGTTCAATGCTTAAGAATTTTCGTACTCTCCCGCATGTAGCAGTAGCACCAGTGTAAAGTCACCGGTCGAAACTCGGTCAAATAAGGCGTCAGTAGGTGTCAGGCCCCGGCGGAGGGGCAGTTCTCTGAAAAAGAGAGTAGGGATCACCTGGTGCATTTCTTGATCAACAGCTCGGAAGCCATTCTCGCGGCAATTCATCGGAGAATCTCTATTTTGATTAAGTTCATCTTGCGCCCTCCAACAATATCAAGAATTGGTCTGGTGTAGATACAAAGAGCACTGGCGATGAAACTAGAAGATTTCAGACTATCAGCAAGTAGTAGGCATGAACCTGGTAGTGAATCTTGAAGATCACTGAGGGAGAGCAGGCGGATTCAATCTAAGGTGGAGCCTTTAAGAAACATTGTGGGAACGGTTGCAGAAAGGGTAGTTTGATCCAACCTACATTCAAAAACTTCGGATGGGAAGGACATCTCATCCAGTGTGGTTTGCGAAGCATGTTTGCGATTCTGGCTCCATGACACAGTAGTAACTGAAGCCAGTAGTCCGCGCACATGGTTAATTTTGCCCAGGGGAAGTAAACATTTGACTATATGTTCTTCATTGATACCAACCTCGTTTAGCAGTGGTGTTAACTGGCCTGTGCGACTGTTGGCGGTCGGTCCAGCGTGCTGAGTGCAGACACCTATTGCTCAAATAGAGCCTATGTCGATGCAAGATACCTACCTGTTATGACCTGCCGTAACACCGGATAGGATTCTTTGGAGAGTTGAAGACACTAACTAAAAAAAGATGTACGAAGTGGAAGCCGGAGTAGGAGCGTAATAGGAACGCGTCATCTTCCGGTGGATCCGAGGGGTAACTTGTGTAACACCGGGAAGAAAATAGCAAGTTTGACGCGGTTGAAACAGAATACATAAGGCGTTGCAAAAAGTATTGCATATGTGTTTTTAGGCTCATGTGATTATGGTATCATTGAAGGATTAGCCAACAACTACCCAGAAAATAGAGTAGCCCTTCCTAAGGATCTCAGGACCAGAGATACTTTGTTTAAACCTATTTACCTGAGCTCCCATGTGGATGCTCAACGCAAGAGAACCTTTATATACCTGTTTTTTGAAGAGATATAGACAGCTCGCTGTTCAACATTCTTGCTTATCTCGATAATGTTTAAGTATGGCGCTAAATAAGTAGATATTAAAATAGTAAATAATTCTATCCTGCCTTTTAGTTTAAGACTCTCGAGTGGTTTATGATGCTCATTTGCTTGTTTTTTTTCCACGTGTGATCTCGGAGGGCCTTGATCCCCTTTGGTTTGTTTCGCCAGCATTAAAATCGGGAGTTGTCTACATTTGTTTCTAGGTTACCCGTTCCTGCCTCTCTTGGACGAAAAATTCTGATCGGCGTCACTTGAAGTCCGTGTACAAACACATCCTTGACTCGTTTTCTAACAAGCCTTTGGTGATTTGCATTGACATTTATTGTTTATTCGTTTTCTGGGATGTTTTTGTCCGAAATTAGTAGATGGATGAACGCAGCACTTCAAAACTTTAGGGTGGTTCATTGAGGATCAATGATGCAGCATTTCTGCACGCTCTTTATCCATTTGAATGCCTGTACTACACGGATTCGGAAGACGCTCAAAACTAAGAGGGAATCCAAGACCGGAACAAGTCCAGTAAGTTGATTTGTTATCACAATGGCGCATCGCATTGAATACCGATCTCCTAATACTGTTTCGTCCATGGAGGCGTAGAGCTCGAAGAGGCCATAAGTGACTAGGTATTCGCTCATCCAACGGCCTGTAAATAAACTGCTATCCATGGAGGAGCTCGCACGTCCAGTGCCTTTGTAAATTACTGGATACCATCGTCTGACAGGCGGCTGCTTGACCTAAGCAAATGTGTCATATATAGTTTTTGACAACCTTCCAACTTTCACTCAAGTTGTTGGAACACTGAGCGTAAAGGTCACATTACAAAGGGGGCGCGCTTTTTTTTCGTGGGATTTCGTGGGAGTCAACGAATGATTCCATCATTATGGTCAATTTGAATAATGCCCGTTTAAGTGTAGAGACAGAACTCTCTATTTTGGCAGAAAAATAGCAGTTACAAGTTTGTATACTAGGCCAACCCGTATGCAGAAATTTTGTACTCCAGTGTATTGTATGCTGTAAAGAACTCCATTTGCATCTCTGGATACGTACAATTTGAGCGAATAGCGTTTTTCGGCAATTAAGGCAAGCTTAGTATAGTATTACACTAATATTTAGAGTATAAACACAATAAATGTAGGTATTTATACGCTTAAGTTGATAATCTTGATAACATTTTAGTTTCACAGAAATCATTGGATGGGGATGAACGCGTATTGATATATAAGCGATGGTGAAGCACCCAAAAATTTTGCGCATACACCAACCGACGCTCCTCGTTGGCTAGCGGAATGCAGAGAGCAAAAACTGTGGTGGAGAAATTTATTTAAAAAGAGAAGTATTACAAAGCTTTCTGATGGTATGTGCAGAAACAAATATGTGGAATGAAAGATAAATAATAGCGAATCCGAGAATCAAGACCACTCATCCGTGGCTTTTTGCTGGTTCTTTGGTTTAATTTTATTACTGACGGGCAGCGTTTACTGCTCAGCCGATTAACGAAGGCTAAATAACTATACATGATCTTCTAGCATCTATTGTCTGAAGCGTTCCAGCCGTGAGCGTTGAAGTTGCTTCCCGTCGGCCCTCTGGGAGAAGTGCCCATCCACCTTTGCTCATAGAGGTTGAAGCGTCACGCTAGTGATAACGTCGTAACTACATCGACATTCACGCACAGCATGCTGTCGCTGAAATTCGGATAGACCCCAAAGTGGCGAGCACGGAAGTGCTTCGGGAAGCTTGGCGACGCAAATCGCACCATTGCCGATCATGAGACCCGAGTTAAACCAGTAATAAAAGAATAAGCCTTCTGGTTTCCTCGGGTGGTTTTTTCCATTCGGTGTAGTCTTCCATTCACTATATTGGTCTGCAAAGTTGTGGGGTGGGGCAGTGTGGAATCTAACCAGCCGCCGCCTATAAGTTAAGCAAGGCGCCTGGCGAGATGGTTTTCGAATTTGATGTGGATGCCAGCCAACTGGTCTCATGAGATCTGTCTTAGGAACTTTTTCGCCACACCAGAAAGGCCAGGTAGTTAAAAATGTAGTCCGGAGATGAGCAAGTACCACTTCTCTATTATGACAAGAATGTGGCTTTTTGACCGTTTGAATCTGACGAGTGAGGAACTGAAAGTTAGATGTTGTTCTGTGAAGAGGAATATTTTTCGGGCTCAGGGTGCTAACTGTATTTGATGCAGTGTGACATATGTGCTTGCCTTGCGCACAAAACGTGTATCTGATTCTGCAATGTGTATGTTGGTTAGAGGCGTATGAAAGTTTGGTCTTTTAGACGTTCGATATGGTAAAGTTGCCGTAAACGGGCTTGTTAGGGGTTCTCGTAGGCCCGAATATCTCTACTGAATGGTAAGCTCTGGCCCCCTGAAAAAGTCCGTCGCCAAATGCGTTCGGAGACGACCTGTATACTTAAAAACACTGGTTTATGGACTGCGTTTGCAAGTTAGACGGCAGAATTTCTGTGGAGATTTCGTCCTGCAAGTAAAGCCAATCTATGCTGAAAAGCACAGATTGGCTTCACTTGCAGGAAGAAATCACCACAGAAATCTCAAATCTCCCCACACTACCAACAGTAGAATTTCTCTTTCATGTCGCTTCCTGTAACGCGGAGTTCTAACTCGTTCTATTGGGCTAGTGCCGCTGTCCGTTAAATCGCAGTTTGGGCACTGCTTACACTAATCGCCGAGTAACCGGGATAACTATAATTCCTGGGAGTACATGTGGGCTTATTAGTGCACAGGTAGTGATGGCCATAATACAAATCAGAAGGTGTATGTGTGCACTAATAGAGGTTTTTAGTATTTCTATGGCACATATAAAAATGAATACAATGCGAAATGGGAGCAAGTCAAAAAGGAACTTATCGTATGTGAGAGTCCCTTGGTGAAAGTCCGGACGGCGGTAACGTGTTTTCTCCGAAATTTGGCTGCTACACGTGTTCCATGATTGTCCGTGGACTTGTGGAGAGGTTGACGTCCTGCTGCCTGCGCGCGCGTGAGTCTGTGTCTTGACTGGGTTCGGTTTGCCTTTATGTAGGTCCCAGTGCGTGTATGTGGGCGCGTCGGCACATGAGTGTTTGCTACGCTGACTATGCGGTGCAGACAATCGATGTCCGATGTGTCAGCTTAATGCGACGTGCGTAAGAGGAAATAGACAAGCCTCGCGATCCAGTGAGCGATTGAGTTGAACAGTCAAGTATGTGGGTGACTGGGTCGCTACAAGCTCCGTTGTAATAAACACCTCAATCCTTTGAAAAACAACCGCGGAATACACAAATCATGTAAACAAGACTGACTAGCACCAATTTTTTCGAGTCCAAAATAGGTCGCGGACGACCACTGAGCCACATACAGAAGTAGCGAATTCAGTGGTTACGTGTCAATTTTTGTCCTTGAGTGGTGAAAACACTGAGTGATCTCTATTTCCGTTCCTTTTATTTGTGATTTAACCACCTTTCAACTGGATTTCTTCCTCCAGTTGAAATCAGCGCTAGTATGTTTAATGTGAGAAACAATTCGTGTGCAACACAGTCGCCAGCTGTTATATTCACTGTGTAGAAGTCCGCATGTAAACACATTCACAGGCTGGCAGATTTATACACGAGATTGAGGCTTTCACCCAAGTAATCCGCGTCATTTTTGTTCTTGTCCTTCAGCGGCTGCCGTTCACCTGGAGGGCCCGAGAGATAAAAGGCTACAGCACTGTTGTTTAAATCCTCAGCGTAGGGGCAGTGGACTTGCCAGCGCGTTGTCTCGCATGAAAGTTTTGTCGAAGCGCTTAGTACTGGGTACTAGATGGGGCGTGTACAGCTGTCAAAGGAAGGCAGTTACTCGAAGCAGTTACGCGAAATGAGCGAAAAATTGTCTTAAAATTGTGCATTCTGAGCGTACAAACCTTCTTACCGTGTTCTCATCGTGTGTTGGCTGTTAAGAACCTTGTTCAAACAGAGTGTCATTGGGAATTAGTCCCCCGGGAGACGATGATACTCTAAGTGGGAATGGGTCAAGAACCACGAGACGCGTTTCACAGCAACCAAATATTCAAAATGAGCAACCAAAAGGCAGGGCTGATTCGTGAATCGGTCCTACGCCTTCGTCACGATTTGTTCTCTAACCCAACAATGATGCATTTTGCCTAAGCCCGAAGGCCTCGTTGATGTATTCAACGAATCACGCTCATGTGCTTCAACCATATCTTCTCGAGATTGAAGGATATTCCGTTCATTCAGAAGTGACAACTCTTCGTCCTTGAACCTTAGATGCGGGCGGAAAGTTCCATTAAAGAGGCGCGAAATGCAGATGGATACAGACAAGATGAACTCTACGGAGTAGACATGCGATCGCTAGGTGACGTTAAGACACCATTTGTTGTTCAGGTGCAGCAGTACTTCCCAAAATCCCTGATCAGTACTGCCAGACGTTGCCCTGGACCGGCAAATTCAAAAAGCATATCACCGCCTTATCAGTGCATTTGAGCAGACACCATTTTGGTGACTCGAACGAAGATCACAGGCATATAAACCCTGTGTTTGCTTAACTGATTTTTGGAACATTCTGAATAAGGTACCAGTTTTCGCAATTGGGGAAAAGGTTTTAAATTGGCTATCACAAGTTGGTACACGATTATATAGGCCGGATTCTGCATGTGAGATGAAACAGACCGCGCACAATTCACCCTGCTTATACCTGTTTGATTCCAACGAAGTTTTGTTCCAGGTGCTCTCTCTTGGTCTATCATGAGACGTAATTAGACGCCTGGAAACTTTAGGCTTCTGGCACAATAGGGCAAAGTTTTGTACCGAATAATGCCGGTTATTGCTTCGGAACCCTGCCGTGGATGATTACGGCTTTTTAAGCCAACGAGGGCGTAGAACAGAATCGAATACATTTTCTTCCCCAAACAGTCTCACTGACACCACACTCCATTAACGCGTTACACCTCAAAAGTTGATGGGTTTCGTGATCTGTCATTCCCAGGGTGTAGGCCTCTGCACGTGGGTAAATCCAGGCTAAAACACAAAGACGAGATATTCAGGCAAGAGATGCAACATTTATCCATAAGCGCCGTTGATTACCCTCTGTTCGAACTCTTTCGAATAACGTGTGTTGTGTAGTGGTCTGGCTACCTAATAAGCTACTTTGCTAGTGTGTGGCATAGAAATAAAAATAATAACGCTAGATTGGGTATACAATAATAACGAGGTCAAATGGAACAGACTCAATAATAGTTGTTATAAGGAAAGCAAAAAGGTACAAAACGCCACAGTTGCTCATACACCGGATTACGTATTCGTTGACGTCCCGTCATCCAGATAGAAATATTTTACCAGATTCGGATCATCAGATCAATCTTGCTCAGTCTTGCTACTATCATCCGATTCACTGAGTTCCACTGGATTTTTCGCGGGTCTTGCTTTGAGAAGAGACCGATCATCACCACATTATTATCGCATTATCATCAGTGTTTAAAATATGATACCGGTATTTACCATCAAGATTCATCATCATGCCTTTAGAGTTTGTTCATGGGTCCTGCTACAGAAAATATGATAGGCGGGGACCGAATGAACACTTGCCTGGTTCAGCCAGGCTGAATGTTGATTTTCCCAAATTTTGGCACAAAAGTGGTCACATTTACGGGTGTTGTGGTATGGCATACGCTGAAGCGGCATCAGCAGTCGTTGTCAGATAGCTCCCTTGGTCAAAGATGCTGGCGCGTTTCTGCACGCTCATTTTACGTCTAGCCGGTTCGGATGGCTTTTCATTTGAATCAGCGTATGACCTTGAGGCAATCGTGGGTTCTTAAGTCAGAGGTGTCGCCCTCGCTTTGGTTGGAGCTCAGTGTTAACAATATGCAACCGAATTTTCGGGAGATATGACGTGTCCTTGATGGACTAAAGCAATAGGGCAATCGATTTCAGAGTGCCAGTCCAGACTAAAGACCCGTGTCCACAAAATGGTCGTAAAAGCAGTCCTGTTCTATTACTGAAAAATGCGGACTCCGACCAAGAGGTCCATTAGGTTCTGGGGACTTTGAACACTCGTGTATCCGCAGTACGATCGCAATATGCATGTAGTGATGCAGTCGCAGTCGAATAATATGCGGTGAGTCCGAGTCACTCAAGCAACTGAGGAGGCCTCTTGGGCTGAAGTAGCTTGGATCATTTGTTACGTAAGTCTGGGTTACCATCTTGCCTCGCAAGAACGGGAACGCATTCAATCCAAGCCGCTGCCAAGCCCGCCAGCATCGTCGACAACAAAGCGAGCCAGTATAATTGGCCCAGTGAACCAGTGGAGAGTGACTTTATGACGTCTTCCTAAGGTTACCTGTTTCATGTTCAATATTCCAGTACTCTCCGACCAAACGCCAAAGAGTTAAAGTTACAATGCTCCGTAAGGCCATCACGAGGCTTGGTCGTCTAGGCTTCGGTGGTGCCCCACCTGGACTACTGAAGGTGACTGCTAAGCCTCAGTGTTTTGCTTAAACTGCTGAGAAACTTGCAGAACGAAAGGAGAGCTACGCAACCCAGTCGGGTGCCGGGTGGACGGAAGGATAAACAAGCGGTCGGTGCTCCTAGATGACCCACTGTTGGTAAGCAAAAAACTTCACGGCAAACTGTGACGTTTGAACCGGGGATTATTAGCAGCACCAGGTGGAAAATAAACAGTTTTGGGTATAATAATGTCCCACGCTTCATAGCGGAAGCGGGATAACATTAATGAGGGGCTCTCGAATTTCAGCATCGGTTAACGGTTATCCTCAGGATGAGTCGCTGTACGTTTTTATAGGATTTACTTCGATGGGGGTATACGGATGTGTGGTGCTTCCAATCCGCACAATGCAAACGCGCTCCGGTCGGGGAACCGAAGTCCTCATCCACACTTGACGCACTCATGATGTGTTGTGACAAAAGCTAACTAAATGGTTTTGTAATATTTAGACATGCTCAAAAATCGATTGGTCCATTCTAGAAGGTCGGGTGATCTGTTTTTGAAACAGGATTCTTGAAGAAGGGGACCTTTACTCTTCAATTTCGTCATCGGTATGATTACGGAATACTGCCAGCCTGTCATTATCATCTACCGTATCGCACCAATGTTCAACACTGACGCTTCGCTGCTACACAACCAAGATTTGCCTGGAAGCCTTGTTGTGAAAAAAGGATAAAAGTGGATGGGGAAAAGACTCAGGGCCACCAAAATCATTTCAGGGTGCCAAAACCTCCAAAACCCACTCAATCAATCTGGATAGAAGCTGACAACAAGAATGCCGTTGACAACAATTAGGAGCCATATCTTGCAGCGTCTACAGCCAGGTGCAATGAAGGTCACGGTAACCCAACATTGAGGAAGGTGAGTTGCGCCGACAGTACCCAAACGTTTTGTAATCTCTTTTGCACTCTGCCAAGTCAAGGGTTGACCACCTATCTGCTTCTGCCACTCTGGATTGGGTACAGAAAACAGCTTTCGTCGGCAACAGATGGTTCGGCATACGCAATACATATTCTAACCAACACAGCTTCTGGTGCTGGACACGCGCTTCACTGGAAGTCCCCGTTGGGCAACCAAATACTCACTTTCTAACTGTCCCGTGACGGGTTAGCTGACACCAGCCTACACGAACTATGGTTCTGAGACGTCGATTGTCGAAGACCCGAAAACGTTTCAGTTCCACTGCTCGAACGGGCCAACTCTCAGCCATATAACAAAACGGCCAGTACTGTAGCGTGATACACACGTTCCTTGAGACGCCATAAGTGTCTCAAATTGGCAAACGCTATCCAAGCCTTGCAGAATCGTGCGTTAACCTCATCGGTCACACCACCATCGAAACTAATACAACTAACGCTCGACAGCTGCGAATGACTTCTCGGTGGATTGTAATTGAAATGTTCAGTGACGGCATTTCTGGTAGCAATCGTAATCGTACTCGCTCAGTTTCAACCCTCTTTTGGTGCCTTGCTGCCGTGCCACATGCGGTAGACACCAAGGCTGGGATGATTCCAGGTTGCCCAAGCTTAAACAGGTGTAATCGAGAGGCTGAGGTTGGTTTGAGCCATGGACCTTCATGTCCCTACACTTGCGCTTAACCACTGGGCTAGCTCGAGCTCAAAACGTTGTATTCATTGAACAACCATGACCTTACGCTTTGCGAGTGGAAGGGGCATGTCAAACTACGGGACGACTTGTCATTTGGTTCAAAAACATATGTACCTTTTCCTCTTCGAAGATGAGAGTTATGTTTGTACATTCCAGATGAACAAGTTTTTCGTCAGCAGCTATTGGAGGAAAGTTGTTTTGGAGACCTTCCAGGGTTCATCGTGGATCACGAAACTACATAGGAATGGATAAAGTGGGCAACTCTTACTGTCCGCTTGGTGTACAGAAGCTTTTGGAGAGCTCTCCGTATACAGTTACACCTCCGGAAGCCGCACAACACAAAGAACGTACACTTTTCAAAAACTTTCGGGACGTTGCTTGCTGGGCAAGTCAGTTATGCAGAGCAGACCGGTCAACCTAGTCGAACGCACCGTGGAAGTTCAGGAGTACTAAAATTGTGGGGTTTTTACACGTGTGACGATATTCTAGCGTCTAATGGACTGCGAAGTTTTGGTCAGCGAAAACCATACCGGCTCGGCGTTTTTAGTTTGCTGCTGTCGAGCCACCATAAAGGGGGGAAGGAGAAGTAATACCAAGAATCTCGTTACGAAAGGGATCGAGCTGATCTCCGTGTAATTACGGCAATCACCACGGGCCCCACTTTTGAAATGGGCACTATCTCCGCCCCACTTATATAAAGGGGGGAAGGAGAAGTAATACCAAGAATCTCGTTACGAAAGGGATCGAGCTGATCTCCGTGTAATTACGGCAATCACCACGGGCCCCACTTTTGAAATGGGCACTATCTCCGATTCTCCCTACTTATCAGGGGCAGTCTCCCTTTCCAAAATCCAGGCATACAGATCAGGCTAACGCTGAATGAGGACTTCAACGCCATCTTTGGACAATGTTAGTGGGAGGTTATTCATATCAGGAGATGGAGAGGAAGTATGGTAAATCTTCGAGGCCACAGGGGGTTCCTGGTTCACCTTCCAGGGTTCTTGTAAGCCGTGGACGCCAAATGAATGCCAACTAGTTCCCACGAGAATTGTTGCCCGAAGTAGTTGGCCCTTCAACTGGAGCGTTCTTTATTCAAGATGATCTCTCCACTGTTAATCTTGGTGGTTTCGCTCACAGGTTTTTCCAGGGACCGGTCGCACGGACCAAATAAACTCCGAACATTCCCGGATTTCTGGGCCCCTTCCATTTCTTGGCTTTCCGCGTCCACCAGACTTGACGGTCGGTGCTTATCAGGGGCAGTCTCCCTTTCCAAAATCCAGGCATACAGATCAGGCTAACGCTGAATGAGGACTTCAACGCCATCTTTGGACAATGTTAGTGGGAGGTTATTCATATCAGGAGATGGAGAGGAAGT